CACGTGATTAACTTGGTAGACACAGAGTTTTCCGGAGCCGCCACTGACAACATGCTTCTTGACTTGACTGGGCCATTAGTTGAGTCAGAAAACGAGCGTGCTGTTATTTGACGCTGCAGACAGGGCTAGTATGTTTTCCTCAGGACTCCTGCGTTGGCAAGGGCAACCCTTGGGCCGTTCTTCTCCAAGATGCTCCATTTCGCCTTCACGGGCAAGCAGCAGCTACCCAACGGCAAGAGTGCCAACGCGTTGTCCAAGGTGAGGGCGCCCGCCATGCACGAGCTGTTTGAATCCATTCTCAAAGCGGTTCTGCCAAATTTCTCCAGCATCTCATCGAGTGACACGCTGGTGGAGAAGTTGCATGCCTTCTTGCAAACAAAGCCCGACAAGGCCGACCCAGCCAGGGCCTGAGGAAGCAGGGCTTTTGGGCACGTCTGACCAATCTGGCTGGATTGGGTGTGGATCATGCGCTGTTGCCATCAGAGCCGGCAGGTGGCAGATGCTGTCGCATCTCAGACCAACGGCGCCGCTGCTTCTTCCTCCAAGGCTTCAATCCTGGATGACGAAAGTCGTTTTCGAGCTCTGGTGTTCTTTGCGACTGAGGGGCTCGGCATGGAGCGGCTGGCAGAAGGGGAGGAAACCAAGACTTTCAGCGCCAAGCTTGCTAGGCACCTGGCAATGTTGCAGTCGCGCCTTGGCTTCTACGCGCCGCCAGGGTTAAGTTGCTGTGTGACACGTGTCTGGAAACGCGGGCTGCGCTTGCGAAAACATGTTGCCTCTGAGCTTGTCCCACCACGTGAGCTTGTCCAACTTGTCCCAGTTGTGCACCTGTGTTACTCGAGGCGACGGTGGGTTTTGAGGATGCCAGTGATGAAGAAGATGATGGTCGCGCTGAAAGCCGGCTGCAGCTGCGAGTCTGTGACGCTTGGCCATTTAGCCATTCAGCTGTGCGGGTTTTGGCGGGGCAACTTGAGCCTAAGGGCAGCTGGCGATGACGGCTGTGCAATGCACAATGAAGCGGTCACACCGGCCGACATGACGCATGACATTGCCAGGGTCTTGTTTGCCCAGTTCCCATCACTGGTGCAACATTATGTGGACGCCATTGCCAGCCACTTTCAGAGCACGTGGGAGCTGCCCCGCTTGATGCAGACTGTCGGCATCACTTCTGACGCAGTTTTGCAGTTGAGGGGCATCAGGGTGGCTTGCGTGCTTGAGATGCTTGACTTCGCAGCTCAAGGAAGCGTTTGCTTTGCAAACAACGCTGCCTGCCTGCGTTGCTTGTGCAACTTTCACGTGTGGTTTTCATTCAGGTGTTTCCGGTGTTTCCCAAGGACAGTGGTAATTAATTGAGCAATGGCGTGGGCCATGTTATAAGTTCCACCTTTTCTGTTCCTTCCTTAACGGTCTGCCTTCCTGAGGCTGGCCAGAACGCAGAAGACGCCAAAGATGCCAAAGATGCCAAGTGCCATTATGCACACCAATGGCTGGCGGAGTTTGTCAGCCGTGTCCGGTCCAGCAAGAAGATGGAGCGGCTGCTGATTGAGGCAGATGGCCACATGGGCGACCGGGCGCATTTTGTGTCGGGCTGGAATGCTATCCTTGGCGAAGCCTTCAAGTTCTACGAATCGTCGGCCTCGGCTTTCACATCCCTCGCGAAAGCAGACAAAGACAAGGTTGAGTCAGCGGCTCGCCCACATGAGTCGCATTTTCATTTGCGAGGTTGAGTGTGTGTGTTTTTGTGTGGCGCGGCGGTGCGGGATCCTCTTCTCTGCAGCGCTGAGGCCATGGAGCGCGCTATCAAGGCCTCTTGCGTGCCCTGGCAGAACGTTTGATTTTGGGTCAGGGCTGCTTTGGGTGGCTCAGCTTGCGTGGCCCATTCTCACAATTGTCAGTTGCTGAGCAAGGCCGAGATGGCTACGCCGGCAGATGCTCACAAGGAGTCATCGGCTGCGCAGGCAGCTGCGGGAGCAGGAGCCACGTCCGGGACAAGTTGTATGGTGCTGCACGCGTCAGACGCCATGCCAGACCCCATCGCAGTGGCCAGGCAAAAGAACGGGAGGGGCCCAAGAGCCAGTTGGTTTTAACTTGTTGAACATAGGGCGAAAGCTTTTCTCAAACCATCAAGGGTGATTTTAGCGTTCTACCCAGCTAGCCGACATCATGACATCATGACATCGCTAAGTTTACGAGCTTGCTGGCGCACGAGCACACCAAAGCCAACATCATGGACATTGTTACTGAGCGTCTTTGCATCCAGAAGCAGTTGCTGCAAACGGCTCAGAAACTTGCCACATGTTGAGTCAATGGGTCAGCGAATGTCAAAAAGGCAGCTTGTGTGGAGTTTTGGCTGGTTGCGGCTATTATGTCTTTGGCTGTCAGACAGTTGATAGCCAAGGACATCAGACCAGCAGAGCTGGGAAAGGCTTCACATCATGTTTGACATCTCGGATAGCAAGCAAACATGGGTCGGGTTGCAAGTCAGCCCGGTGTTGGAGTGTGGCGTGCACACCGCGACGGACTTGAACCAGTTGGGCGAGGCAAAGGCCATCCATGTTCTGACCACCGCAGCTGCGTTCGGCCCGGCAACCTCACAGCTGCCGCGCAAGCCGAAGGATGGGACGCAAGATGCCGTGCAGATGTACGTGGCCTTGCCTGTTGACTTTCTCAAAGATTTCCAGCTCACCTTCTTCGGCATGATCGCGTTGGAGGGGAAAGCAGCGGCTGTTCCATTGACAGTCGGGCAGGCAGGGCAGGCCTCAGCAAGCCTTCCGTGGCAAGTCTTTGGCACCGGGTGGGACAGCCTGATGGGGTCTGAGTGTGTTTGCCCAGCCTTCGTCCTGCCAGCCAAGAAGATCAAGCTCACGAAAGCGCAGCTGCAGAACCAAGCTGGCAAAACGAGCTCCAAGGCAAAGCAGGTCAACATCTATCATATGATGAACTTGCCAGACCCCTCGGAAATTTGCGAAGAGCCAGAGATCGAAGCGTTTGCAGCTGATATTGTCGGCGCAGCTGCGAGCAAGAAGAAGGCGACCAAAAAGACGAAGGTGCCTAAGGCCAAGGCGAAGGGCAAAGCAGCTGCGAAACACAAGGATGCAAATTTTGCAGTGACCTTCGTAGACGAGCCTTTGTTCCTGGGTTGCGCTTGTGCCCTTTTTTTCTTCTGGTTTAAAAGCGTGGCGCAGTAGTGTGGCAGTGTGGATCTTGGACTGATGGCCATTGAGGTCAGAGTCTCAAAGGCGTCACAGGGCTGAGCGGCTGAGCGCTCGTTGTTCTTCCCTGGCTTTTGTTTACCCAAGGCTGGTCTATGACGATTCCAAGACCTTCAAAGTGCAGCTGCCACCAAGAACCAACGGCGATGGCGGCGATGGCGAAGTTCAAGCTGCAGCCGCAGAGCTTCAGCTGGTTTGCCCTTGCTTGGTTGGGAATTCGGACTTGACCACTGTGACTGGAGCGGAGGTGATCTATGTGCCAGCGCAGAAGTGCGGCGACTCCTTTTTCATTGCGCTCAACCGTGGCCCCCTGCGCCTTGCCAAGTTGCCAAGCCCGTGTTACGTTTTTTTGTTTGCAACGGAACAAAGAAACTTTCGAGAGTTTCGGGATTTTCCTGCGTCGCTGTCACTTAGCATAGCTGTTCTGGCCCTTCTGACTGGGCGACTCAGCAGACTCGGCAGACCCAGCTCAGCAGACAGTTTGAAGTTTGAACTTTGAACAGTGAACGCACTGGTGAGGCCAGCTGAAATGCTGAAGCTCCAGGAGAAGTCTGAGGAGGCTGCGGACAAGGCAGCTGTGGAGCAGCACTTGAAGGTGGTTGAGTCATGGGGGAAGCTGACTGTGTTTCAAGGTTGCCCAGATGTTGTGGCGTCTCACCTTGGCGGTGCCAACAAGGGTTCTTCCAAGAGAGCTGGGGCTGACAAGTGCGGCAAAGATGTCAAGCACTTGTTTTCTTGAGTGCCACAGCTAGCAAGCTAGCAGCCCGCATGTTGAACATGCGGCCTGCGGCCAGATGCGCGGGAAGGCCACACGCTGGGGATAGCAGGGATTGCTGGACGGCTTTGCTGCTTTCTGTAAGTGGGCATGCGCCCCTCAATGTTTGATTTCATGGTAAGCGCAATTGTAACTTTCCCACAATAGCTAGAAACAATCAGCAACTCCTGCGGGCCATGGTCTGTCTGAGGTTTTGACAGGGCCAAGGCCCTGTGTGCCCGACAATGCGCTTAATACGCACAGACGCACAGAGAAAAACCGGACGCAGCTTTGACCCTGGCATCATTTTTTTTGCACTGGGCATACTTTGTGGTGGAGAGGTGGAGAGTGCTTTTGCTTTTGCCCAACATGTTGGCAGTGCTCGTCATCGTCTCACATGAGATAACCCTGAGTCCCCTGGGTGGGGGCCACAGGCAAACAGGTTAGCGCCCCAGACAGCAGGGTGTTGGGGAGGACCCATCTTTCTCTTGAGTTTGGACGTCCTTAGACACAGAGAGACACAGAGAGACAGAGAGACACACAGAGAGACGCAGAGAGACGCAGACAGACACAAAGACAAACACACAGCGACAGACACGCAGAGACAGACACACAAAGACAGACACAGCGACAGACACACAGAGGCAGACACACAGAGACAGACGAGAGAGAGCGGGAGCGAGACCCAGAGAGAGAGAGAGAGAGAAAAGTAAATAAATAAAATAAATACATAAATAAAGAAATAAAGAAATAAAGAAAGAAAGAAATAAATAAATAGAGAGAGCGAAAGAGCGAGAGAAAACGAGAGAGAGAGAGAGAGAGAGAGAGACAGAAAGAGAGAGAGAGAGAGAGCGAGAGAGAGAGAGAGAGAGAGACACAGAGAGACAGGGAGACAAAGAAGGAGAGACAGACACACACACACACACAGAGACACACACACACAGACACAGAGACACACAGACACAAACACACGCAGGCACACGCAGACGCACACCAGACATACACCATGTATCTCTTGGCTTCGAAGCTCCGAGGATTCGAACCTGGAGCCGTATATCTCGGACCAGGCGAGCCCGTGCTTGACAAGCAACGCCAAACGGGGTGTGTGTTCAACTGGTTGGTCCGTTTCCGTTCTTTTGGTTCTCGGCGTTCATTGGGTCTTTGCCTCGCGGAGAGCCTCATGGATCAGATGTCTCAAGGATTGCCCATGCACGAATGGATGGCCGGGCAGTTGTCTCCGGCACTCGCTTCAAGTCCCTGTGAGCCATCGTAACTCAGGGACTAACACTGGGAGTCAACAATTCTGTTGCGTACCTTCACACGACATGAAAGCGCGAGGCAGAAAAAACACGTGTGGAACCACGCGCAAAGTAGAAAAACAACTGTGACCGTCGCACAACGACCATGAAGGTAAGAACATCCTCTTCACACTGCCCAGAAGGCAGAGTGACAAAGAGAGTCCCTTTTTGCCAGAAGCTCCTTCCAAAAGAAGTCGGAGTTGTCACATATTCCAGAGTGCAAATTCCACAGCGTCATGTTAGGATCCCAACATGAGAAGAACATTCCAGTAGAACTCAGGAATTCAGATGAACGGATGCTGTACTGGAAGGGTGCAGAGCTGTGGTGCAGTGTTCTGGAAGCATCAAAAGGTGAGGGCAAGGTTCCACATTTCCCAAGGTTCTTTTTTGTTCATCACACCCTTGTGGTGCATGCTTGCGCGCGTCAGGACGCGCTGGACATTCTCCGCGCGCCGGCCAAAGAGGCTGTGCGCCGGGGCATGTGTGTTTGTTTTACATATGGAATCCTCAACATGGGTGGTTTACTGTTGGTTCCCCTTTGAACCAACCCCAAAAAGGGAACCCATAAAAAGATACGTAATTCGAGCTGTGCGTAGTGGCGAATTAAAGCGTGTTCAGTGGATTTCTCAGATTGGTTTGATTTTTGCACAGCAATCCGAAGTTCACGCGACAAAGCAGTGCAAAGCCCTTAGGAAGTAGTGTGCAGTGTACCCCATACATGCTTCTGAGTGTTGGCAACAAACAGCATGGATGGCTATGAAGGCAACCATTGACACCCAAGGGTATGAAGGCCGAACCGCATTGAGTTTGGATTTGCATTTGAGGTGCCATGAAACTCGATCCGGCGATACCAAACGCCAGAAAGCTGTTGACATCCCAAACGGCAAACGATCAACTTAAGCTAAGGGACCTCTTTTCGGATTTGTCCACGAGCCCCCCCCAACCACCTTCCCCCAAGAAGGCCTAAAGAGTCGGTGCCATGTGGCTGAAGGCTTCAGTTTGGCGCCTTAGGGTTGCTTTGTAAATTCCCTTGATCTTTTGCGCTTGGCCCGCCTGTGCTTCTTAAATGCCAAGCCGCTGCTTTTTGAGGCACCTTCCCAAAAGCGGTCGCTGGGAACTGTGGGTCACAGCTCTCCGTGTGGGTCATGGCATCCGCTGTGAACTTTGCTAGGACCAAGCTTTTGCACTCGGCTCCGCACCCCCCCCCCCACTTTCGCCCGTCGCTCCAGCCCTGTCCGTCGACTTGTGGGATGAGCGCCGCAAGGAGCGGCCTGCGCCGCCCGCCCCGGCAGCGGCAGCGGCGCCGGCGCCAGAGCGGCCCGCGCCGTCGCCAGGTGCGAGGGGGATGCGCGGAGGGGGATGGCGGGATGGCCGGCGGTCGAGGTAGATGCACTTTGGAGTCAGTGAGAGAGAGGCAGCCACTCAGGATACAGCCGCAGAATCGTGATTGGTGGTGCGCATCCATCACTGCCCTTTGCTTTGGTTGAAATATCCCGTATGCAAATTGGCACTCCCAGGCAAGGGGATGGGTTCGGCTGGGGTGGAGCTGCAAGAAACCCACGCAGCCTGCACCAGATCACTTAGTGTCAAAGTTTTCAAGCATCCCGCCCACCGCACATGATATGGCTGTCAATGTAGACTCCTGGACCTTTGTTGGGGGCCAAACTTGACAGCATTTGGTTCTAGTTGACGACCTCTGCGTCGGTCAGGTTCCTGGCTGCGAGACAACACAGGTATGATTGATTCGCAAAGGCCATGGATTATGGCAAGGGGCAAAACAGCCTTTTTGCGTACATGTTGCAGGTACTGAATCTTGGTTGGAAATATGTATTTCTAGCTTCACAAGGTATTTGCAGACATCCATGACTATATTTGCATGGCATGTTTGAGCCTGGAGAAGCGTGCGCCTGAGGCAGCCTCAGGTTCCAGCCGGGGAGTTTTATACCCTTGCTTGTGTTATCAATGGGATACATGCCAGTCCCCACAGTACGACCTCGAGGTCTGTATGGCGCACATATATACATATATGTGACATACGTATATGCAGTACACTACGCAACATTACGTTACATTGCATTACATCACATTCAATTACACTACATTTCACTACTTTACATTACATTACATTGCAGTACAGTGCAATACAGTACAGTACAGAACATTACATACATTATATGACATTGCGTTGCATTACGTCACATTACAGCACATCTACATGTCATTGGCTTTACCTGGCATTTGCACTTCAATTTACACAACCATTTACATGAAAACTTTCATTGCATCGACGTTTACATCGAGTCATATTTTCAGCGCACTTGCAAGCTTTGCCAACACTGCATTACATCACCTCACATTACCTCCTTACATTGCATCACATTCCAGCACATACATCACATGACATTTTCTCTACATTTACATGTACATTTCAATATTGTGTATGTACATATATATATATATATACATATATATATATATATCTATATCTATGTATATGTACATACACTACATCTCATCACATCACACCACACACATCTTGTTGCGTTTCGGCACATTATGTGCACGTAGTATGTGCAATACACGTATACAACGTAACACACGCACACACACACATGTATATATATATATATATACACATTCTATTTATACATAACTTGAAACTGAGAATCCGTATCCGCAGGGAACCCCTACTGAAAGTCGCTCCTTCGTGCGCAGATCTGGAGCCGCAGCTGGAGGACCTGAGTCGTAGTGCCGGCTTTGACTTGTCGCCGGTTCCTTGCCGGCTTTCGGTTGGGGCACCGTCCATGGGGTAGACACGCTTTTTGTGGAAACCATGTCGGAAAGACGGAGTCGTGGGCATATGTCCTGGAATTCCCCAGCATGACAACCCTTTTTCTTTGCGGGACTGGCTGCATGGCGCCGGGGCATGTTTCATACTTCGACCAGGCAATGGTAACTACTCTTCCCAGGATGGTTCTTTTGGGGGCTGACTGTCAACATCCTTGCCGATGTTGCCAGGCCCAAAGTCCTTTTTAGAGCAGTCCAGACAAGCTGCTGCGCCCGCCCCGGTTTTTCTGTTCGGGGCAGATGTCTCGGGTCGGGAGTCGTGAGAGCCGCTTTCCTCGCTGTGAAGTCCTTATGGCCTCGCCAAGTGACAGATTTGGCTTGATGTTGTTTTCGTTGTTATCGAGCTCGCACGGTTTAACTAGCGACTTTCTGAGAACAATAAACATGGGTGCAATGGTGAAGGCACTTTGGCACTAAGTACCACCACCCGAGATCATTTTGTTGCCTCCGCACTTCTCAGCGGTGGGCGCAGTACGGTCGCCTGGCGACCTCGCGCGGGCGAGTGACCTGCATGTTCGGAGTTTTATTTCGTCTATTTCGTCTGTCTATTTATTGCTCGTAACTTGCTTGCCCAGTTGAGTTGAGCAGTGGTCAATTGACAAAGGCTTGATGTACGCGAGTTGACCTGGGGCCAGGAAAACTGGTGAGGAAGGAAGGAGCTCAGTTCAAGTAGTCCATTGGCATTAAGCTGAGCCTTCCGGAGCTTTGTGAGTGCTTTGGGTTTTAGACCTGAAGTTTTCCTTCCTTGGGGATAGCGACGATGTGTGAGAGGTCACGAGCAAGAGCATCCAAATTTCAAAACATCAGTCTTTTGTCTTGTTCCTGCCACAAGCTTGACCTTCATAGTTAGGGGTAGGGGTGATAGATGAGCCAGCGACACACATCTCCCTGTTCATCGACCGACTGAACTAGTTGCCCATGTGGCCATCCCACATGAGCCATCTCTGAGCCATCTCCGTGAGCCCCATCAGCGAACATCGACCCGCTTTCGAGGCAGAGGGCCCCTCGGCAGCAGCAGTGGCGGCCGCTGCAGCCGTGGCCAAGGCAATCGTCTGGTGGTTTGGCGGTCCTTCGTCGGTTCGTTCAAGTTCTGGCTTCCGTATTCACCACCAAAGTGATCACTGGGAAAACAAGTCCCATCATGGTTTGTTGAGTGGGGGATGATGTTTGCTGGCGCTGAGTGCATGCCGTTCCACACACTCATACACACGCACAGGGCCCCAATTTTCACGGTCGAAGAACCCCGCTGGGTCAATCCCCCCCAACAAAACACCAGGCAGGAGCGGGGCTGAAACGGGCGGCACGCCAGGGCACCAAGCTGAGCCCCGCGCAAGGCGGGCCAATGGGTCCGGTCAAGACCTTTGTGCAGTCGGATCTGTTTTTTGTCCTGTTGCGAGTCGCCATGCTTACTGCCCCCGAACGTGTGACCATTGAATTGAGGCCTTCTTTCTGTGCGGTGGACAGTGACCCGCCTGGGCAGCGACCAAGCCGTAAAAAATCGAGAACGATTTCCTTGACTGTCCACTGGGCTGAACATGAATTCCGCTTTCATTTTGTTCGCCCCGCCGACGTCGGGTTTGCCAAAACAGCGCTTGGGTTCCAAACCAAAGGTTTCCAGCCTTCGCCACCGGCTTCGAAAAAGCGTCAGGAGATGATACCAGCGAGGTCTCCACGGCTCCGGAGGCGGGTCTGGGGTCCGCGCTCCAAGAGCCAGAACAAAAACAACTTGACGCCGAGGCTTGTTTTTTGCCACTCTGAAGAACGAGAAGCCACTAGGCCAGGGTGACAATAGGTTCCTAGTGGGCAAGCAAAGGGGATGATTTGTCCAATACGGCAAAATTGTGACATGGTCTCTTACCCTTACCTGCCGCAATTTAACATAGTGGATGTTTTGGTGTCCTTTCACGCTGGCTTGTGCAAGCATGCAAAGCATTCAGCGGTACTTCAGGATGCCTGGTCATCCATTTTGACATCGGAGGTGGTGATTTGCCCTGGAAAGTGCGAAAACTGTTCGAATGGGGAGTTGTGAATGGAGGAAAGGCATCAATTCCGCAATGGCGGGTTCGCAGCTTCCAATTAACTGCAATGGGAGGAACATGGGCCGTGAGCTAGGGCTGATGACTTGCTTTCATATAGCCATGGAGGGTGGGCAAGTCGTCATCGGACTCGGCCAAGAGCACTTGGCGCCAGGGAGCGGTTCACATATCCAACACACAAGCTGGTATGGCTCCAAACGCCTGGGATATGCTTGCCTGTCAGTTTCTCCTTCGCTTGTGCCCAATAGAGAGCTTACTTGACGTTTGCATGCATGTTTTGAGTTCCGAATTCCAGCCATTCAGTTCGACTCAACGCCTGGAATTTCCCGGTTTCGATGGAGAACCTTACGCCCATCGCCTACGAGGCCGCCGCGGAGAATTTTGCGTCCTTGATCGAGGGCCTGGGGGGCGACGCCAATACCCTGCGTTTCGAGTACACGGACGCCGAGAAGCTGCAGGCCGCGGTGAGCGAGACCGCCACCTGCGTTTATTTGGTCTTGCTCGGAGGCGGTGATGTAGACATGAGCCTCGTGAACCAAAAGCTGCACATCTCGGAACCCCGCACAGAGGAGGAATGCTATGAATACACCCACAGCTTTGTGGTGATCAAGACAGAGGAGGACGGGCTTCAGTGCTTTCAGCAATACCCCGGTGGGATGGACAGTGACAAGGAACTTTTCTCGATCAATGCCGGCTTCTTCGATGATTTGAGCCAATTGTGCGCCCACAGTCGAGAGGGAGTTCAGCCCAAGGTCTTCCAGCGTCTCTTTTGCGGCGGAACAGCGCCCACAGCCCTGCCGGTGCATGATCGAATGATCATGAAGGGCTTGGGCTTTTGATCGTTTCGAGCCAACGCGGCCACTGTTGCCAACATGGTCCTAGAACGCGACCGTTTGTTTTGAACAAATACCGAACCACATATGTGAATGTTGAGATATGTGAATGTTGAGACATGGATCGCGGGCTTTGTTGGTATACTTTGAAGCCGATCCTTGCCTGCCGATTGCTGCGGGCCTTGCTGACGACAGAGCCCGAAAGGAACAACGAAAAGCATGGCTAGTCTCCAAATGGTAGGTTCCTTTGGTTTCCCTCTAACCATCCATCCATTTTTTCTTTCCATCCATCCATCCATCCATCCTTTCATCCATTCATCCATCCATCCATTCATCCATTCATCCTTCCTTCCTTCCTTCCTTCCTTTCTTCCTTCCTTCCTCCCTTGCTTTCAGGCATCCATACATCCATGCATCCATATCCATGCATTTGTGCACAGCATTGTTTGTCCCTTTCCAGTGGCTTAATAATAGAGCCAGCGTAATGAATCAAAGGAGATGTGGAAACGGCAACTTTGTTTATTGCTTTAACCGTCTGCTAACCACCCACTGACCACCCACGAGTCACCCACTATCCACCCACTAACCACCCTCGAACCCACAAACCAACCCACGAACAACCCACAAAGCACCCATGAACCACGCACGAACCACCCGCTGACCACCCACGAAATTCAGCACAACCGATAATCAACCACCCACGAACCACCTACTAACCACCCACTGACCACCTACACCACCACCCCCCCCCACTCCCCCTTTTCCGGGTGCAGCTCCCACTAACGACCACCCATGAACCACCCATGAACCATCCACTAAGTAGCCACCCACTGAGTGGCCACCCACTAAGTAGCAACACATCAAATAGCCACCCACAAAGTAGCCACCAACACGAACCTCAACCACCCCCCACCCACGAACCACCCACCCGCGAACCACCCACCCACGAACCACCCAACCACGAACCACCCAAAAACCACCCAGGAACCACCCAGGAACCACCCACTAACCACCCACGAACAACCCACGAACCACCTGCAGCTCCCACTAACCACCGGTGAACCACGGACTAACCGCCCAGTAATCACCCCACGAACCACACATAAAACATTACCTGATAGAGATTTCGACTGCCTCACTCCGCCAGGACGACGAGGCCTTTCTGAAGTCCATCGAGCAATGCCTCAAGGAGTGCTCGCGGCCGATGCTGAACCGCACGGGGGCCTTTGCGTTTGTTTGTGTTTGCTTCTTTGGCCCCAAAACAAAGACTAAATTGAAGCTAGTCATAGTGGAGGGGCAAACACGCACATGAGTTTAAGCATCGTTAGTGTCGTGGTCCAATCGGTTGCTAGCAACATGCATTGCTTCAGGAGATGATGTTTGGAAGTTCAGAGTTCCCTGTTTCTGGTAATTACACGTGCGCAGAGTGTCCAAACAACAAGTGCCTAGAGAGCCCTGTCATTCGTGAAATCTTGCATGGGCTAACCCTGAGCTCCGGTGCTCTCAGGCAGAAGGACCTGCACGTCAAGTTGCGGGCGTGCAACTGGAACACGCTGCTTGTCAACCTCTTTTCTAAATGGCAGATGGCCTGCTTGTTTCGCTTTTTTGTTTTTGTTTTAATCAAGATGTTTGTTGACACGGGTCTGAACACGCCTTTGCAAGTTGGCAGGGGCCGGTTGTCGCAGGAATGCGATGTGATGTGGGACGATTACTAGACTGGCCATTTCCTCCTGGCCCTGCGCAGTGACAAAAATGATGTGCAGTGCTTGGGGGCACCACAGCGGTAGAAGCGAATGTGGTTGATCTCCCCCCCTCGACCTTTCCAAAAGCGGATTCGGAATTTCCGGATTGAGCGAGGCGAGGCTGGAGGCTCTGTAAATGGGGGGTACCCACACTGTTTCTAGCGTGCAAAAATATCCGATGCCTGGAGAAAGGGAATTATATCAGGAAAATGGCGCAAGCTGAAAACCTCAACCTCAACCTTAGCTCATGTTTTGTTGGCTCGCAGCTACTTTCTCTCTGTGCTCACAGTGGATATTGTTCGCCATGCCAATGCTGGCGAAACTCATGGCCGTGGTGGCCGCTGTTGCCGTCGCAGATGAGGCCCTCGGAGTGATGCTTGCGCTTGCCGTTGGCACAATATCCAGGTGGAAAGCCGGAGTGATCCGAATGTGTCAGATGATTCCAGAAAGTTGATCCAATGCCTTCCCACCCAAAATCGATTGAATAGTAGTGAGAAGAGAAGAGCCTCCCTTCCTTCCGCTTCTTCGCGAAGGCTTTTCAGCTCGTCTTTGCGAAGGCTTTCGTTTCGGCCAGGTGGACTCGGCCCTGCGCCGGGACGATCAGTGCGGCTCGGGCGAGTGCGGCCTCAGCGCGGTGCAGCTCCGCGGGGTGAAGGGCGAGGATTGGGGACTGGAGCTTTTTGTGTTTTTGTTTTAAGGTTGGTGGCATTGCAAGCTAGACTTTTGGCAAAGAGGGACGCTGCGGGAGCCGAGGGTGGGTTGTTTCGGTTTTCTTGGGTGGCATCGCAAGCTAAACTTTTGGCAGCTAATAGCTTAATAGCTGAGGGACGCTGCGGGAGGTTGGTGCCTTTGTTTCTGGGGCCGAGCCGCTATTTGGGTGTGGACACGAGTGTCCATGTTCAAAGCCCCTGCAAACGGTCCGGCGCCGGGAGGGCATGCAGTGCTCAAGGCCAGCGCTGGCCCGGGGTCTTTTGCAGGAGCTGCTGGAGCTGGAGAAGGGCGCGAAGGAGGTGGAAGGTGAGGAGGCCCACGAGGGCTGGCTGAAGGACCCAGCGCGCGCGGATGCCGTGCGTTGGGGGTGGGTGGGTGGGTGCTTTCCGAGTGGTCCTTACTGTTTTTCGGGCAGTTTTGCGGGAAGGAGTGAGAACTTATGGACTTCACCGCAATCATGAGGACCGTGACTTTGCTCCTTGCAGTTTTAGGATCTCATGTCTGATGGATGTTGCCAAAAGGGTGACGTGAATCATGCGAAACCAGCTCTCGGGAGTGGAATTGTATCTGTGAAGTTTCAATTTCGCTTCGCCCAACAACAGGCCCGAGCATTACTTTTGATCGCAGCCCCAAGACAACGAGGGAGCTTGTCCTGTCCCAAGACAGACCTGGGAGAAGAACGCTTCAAAGCTTGCGGAGCTTTGTTGAATGCTCCAAACCATCACCGCAACCACGGATCATCCGCAGGGAGCTGCATTTGGCATCAAGTTAAGATACCACGCGTGGTAATGTTGCTCGTATGAAAGTTAGCGTTGTGTAGCAGATTAAGTTTTTTTTTTTTTTTTTTAAGATCTGGTACAGAAGGCTCCGAACACTTGGCGTTGGAATCTGTTGATGTTTTAGCTCTAGCTTGACGCTTGGGGTTCGAGCTGCTTTGAATTGGTGACCACTCCCAACTAAGAGGCAAGGTGCTGCTACAACTGCTGTAGGAGTGGACATCTTCGATTCAGGGCCAGAGCTCCAACAGGAGAGCTCTCCCCACAGTTGAAGTGATTCAAGTATGGGTAAGTACAACTGCAATCTTTTATGCTTACATCATGTTATAACTCCATACACTGAGCATGGTGATCTTTTCGCCAGCAAAGCTTCAAGTATGTCCATGCAGCACATTCAGTTCTGTTGGTTTTGTGGCTCCCACGAATCTTGCCTCTTCTTTCTGCTCTGCAATCGCTCTCTGACATGTGACGCTCTCTTGACGGCGTGTATCACTACAAGACTGCAGGCAAGCAGGTGATGGCCAGCTGCAAAACACAAGCTCACGCTGCAACAGTGGACCCCAAGAACGCTTCATTTAGAATCAGAAGTTCTAAGTAAGGAGGAAGGGAGGGAAGGGGGGGGGAAGGGTGGGGGTGGGGGGGAGGGAGGGGGAAGGGAGGTGGAAGGGTTTGATTGAATCAACCGCAGTATTTTTCCCAAGTTCAAGCTGAGTCAGAAACCGAGTCTGTTTTCCTTTTTTCCCCCTCACGTGCCTCCTGTGGGTAGGCTGGAGTTCCTAAATTTAGTGTGACCTGTTAAACATCTATTGCTCAGCCCCGTCAATATGTTAGTGCTGTCATGTTTTAGCTACCCGCAACTTGGCACATGCATCCCGCCTCCACGCATTTCCACTCTGGTTAAATGCTTCATTGCGCGGAAGTATGGCAATGCTGCCCGAGTACGGAAACCATTTGTCAGGCACTGACGTGAGACATTTAGCAGCCGCGCAATTTCTTCAGTCTTTTGGCTTGGTAGGGATTTTGCATGGCAAGCTGAGTGCATGCAAAGTCAACTTACCGCGAATTAACACTCCTTCGAGCTTCGCAGGGAAGTGGTGCATGGCGAGTTTTTAGCATGCTAGAACATTGTTCGTGGGTGGCAATTTGTTCTAGTGGACAGGGATAACAGCTCTTATTTCACTTTTTCGACAACGTCTCACATGCAGAAACACCAAAGTCACAAGGACAACACAACCTTCATTTGTGCATGCTTGAAGCTCCACAACCAGGACAGATGCATAAATGAACACGCGTAAATTCTCGAACTCTGGACCAGTACTTTCTGATTCCTGAGTTGTTCGGTCCTTGTACAGGTCCTGGAGCTTCACGCAGATTGCTTTTTGCTACTTGCAGGTTTTGGAGCTTTCGGCTGCATTTGTTTGTCCCCGTGCAGGTTTAAAGCTCTATATGTGGCTGTCAACATGCGCATTTCGTGTCCTTGATTCCCGCGTCCACCATTCAAACAAACGCTTTTGATTGTCCACTTCACTTGCATGTGTTGCACCCAACATAGTTATCTCTCAGCGTTGTTTGCTCAACGTCAGAAAACATGCTGGCAGGGTAGCACTTTCAAGCACTGCGTGACCGCCTGTAACAAAGTCGTCTAAAATACACTACACAAGCGTGGGCTCTAACCCCCAACAAGTGTATTTATGGGGAAATGGGACCTGGAGGAGGGGTTGTAGATAGGTGGGTGGGAGGGTGGGTGGGTAGGTAGGTAGGTATGCACGTGACAGTACAGTATTGCTTGTCACTGAGGTCTACACATGTTTCACATTTGGTTACAGCAATTGCTTAGGAAGCCCCAGCCGCCGTTATGCGGTGGGTCTGAAATTTGGGGCCGAGGGGTCCTGAAGGAGCTTGTGCGAGGATGCCTTGGTTCCTTGCTCTTTTGAGGACATCACCACCAAGGAGAAGAACCACTTCAAGCACATCTTGGCGCCGCTGCAGAAGCCCATCGTGACCAACTACCAATACCTGGTGGTCCTCGACTCGCTTCTTGGCTCTCGGGCGGCTTTCCGACAGCTTCCCGAGGGACATAACTTCAAGTTTGTTTTTGGCGGTCACGTCGGTCACGTCGGGAAAGGGGCATTGATTTGGCTTGTGATATTGCCAGGGAGAGATGCAAGGAAGCCTTGTCTCTAATTTCCGCGTTGCGTCAACTCAAGTAAACTCGGCACCCCTTCAAAATGTATTTGATGACTCCTGGCCTCACGAGGATGAGGTTTTCTCGAAATCCTTTGCTTCCAGGGAATTGCCAGAAGTGAAGGGAGCAAGCCAAGCAGGCGAGCAGGTCTCCTCCAACGCCAACAGGGAGGAGTCAGAAAGCCAAGAGGAAGCACACGTGTTTCATCAGAGCTGCAGGTATGCGAACTACACCATGGAGAAGATCGAGAATGCCACTGGCAGCGAGGTGGTGTGGAATCGCAAGTCCCTGCTGCAGCAGGCTGAGGCGGGGCTTGACTCGGATGGCAAGGGGTGGGATGCACAGGGAAGGGGCCAATAGGGGTGAGCTGCACATGAGATCCTTTCCCTGAACAACGCACCCCCCGGCACAAGAAAGCAAGCAAGATTGTGTTTCAGCTTTGGTTTCCCTTGAAAACAGTCCAACAAAGGGTTCCCTCAAACAAGAAATTGAGATTCCAGGAGGAGATGGAGCAGGAGGAGATGGAGGACGCGTCCACCTATGGCCGCCGCCGCCGCAGCGTCTCCGGCGCAGACTTGCCCCCCCGCGCTCGGTACATCAACAAGATCCTCATCTATCTCAACAAGGCTCCTTGAACAACTATGAATCTCTGCCAAAAAGCCGGGAGTGAAAATAGAGCAGTCTGAGCTGATGTTCCCCAGAATGTTGGCTATTTTCCAAGGTCCGGAGGTGTGTTGTGTTGTTCGATAGGAGATGGATGCCGTGTGGAACTTGAACACGATCGTGGACCGTAAGCGCTGGGGTGTGGGCAACACCATCACCTCCTCTCCCTATGGCCCTCATGGCGAGCATCCTGAGCGCTGGCGCGCAAACGGCACCTTCCCCCTGCCCCTTGCGGCGCCTGTCAGCCCTGTGCTCAACCTGACCAATACCCTCACCATGCGCATCAAGCCTGAGGCAGGGGGGGTGGGCTCGGGGACGCGCTTGGAAGTTCCCACCGGGTTTCATTTTCTTGTCGACTCAGGAGCACAAGTACGACAACAAGTACGCACAACAGCTGCAGGCTGACTACCAGTCCTTGATCGACAACATCAACGATGCCAGTAAGAAGGGCAACGACCTGCGATCCAGGCTCTTCAAGATGGATGTGTACGCGAACCAGTTCATCGCTCTCCCCAGCGGGGTATGGAACAAGATCGATGCCCAACGCTAGGCTGATGAGCTTCCAGGGCCCTGCTATGAAAGCGTTGAGGTTCCGCGGAGAAAGTATGCCGCGCCAGGAACCCACCTGCGCCAGAGCTCTAGCTTCAGACTAGACAGTCGCTTTGACTGCCCCTTTGCATTGATTTCCGTAGGTCAGCAATACATTGCTGACGATGATGCGCTGAATACCGTCCGTTTGCAAAAGCGGCACCCTAAGTCAGCAGGCTCTGACTTTGAGGCAGGTGTGGCACAGCGTGGCAGAGTGTTTGTTGATTCCTCCCTGGAATGAGGATCACTCGTTTTGAGACGCGTTTTCGCCCACCTTGGGTGCTTACAAGCATGTCCATATTTTGTCATTCTATTTGCCTCGGCAGAAAAGGCAGCGCAAGTTGGAATTTCGATTGCAGCCGTACCCTTCACCTCGAACAGCGCTCTTTCTCGACTTGGCTAGCGATGCTGGCATTTTTTGCGGCCCTCTTGGTGGCTGCCGCTGGCGAGGAGGCTGGGACCGGGTCTGAAAGCCTTCCGCCGGAAGGCGGTGCAGAATCCAAGCCTGGCTGGCAGAGGTCACCCCCCCACATGGGCTACCTCTCTTCTTTTGGTTTCAAGGCCCGTCGTATTTGGGAATGTTGGACTTCCGGAATACCCTGGGCCAGTTGTGCTGGGGGACGTGACTTGGGCTGGATTGAGGGGATGATGGGAAATCACTCCTCCAAGTGGGACGCACAAAGAGATGTGGAATAAGGCTAGGCACCCTCTTTGGGTTCATATCCAACATTTTAGACGGGGTGAGTTTTTTTCCCGAAAGCATCGCGAAGGGTTCTTTGGAAAAGACGGTTGCCTGCTACACAGCTGACGTACGCAGCGTGACTGACACAGCCCGACTTACGCAGCCTAGCTTACGCAGCGTGACTTACTCAAACTGACTTGCGCAGCCTGACTTACACAGCCTGATTTACGCCTAGCTTACACAGCCTGGCCTACGCCGCCTGACTCACGTAGCCTGATGTACGCAGCCTGACTTACGCAGCCTGACTTACTTACGCAGCCTAGCTTACGCAGGCTGACTTTCGCAGCCTGACTTACGCAGCCTGACCTACGCCGCCTAACTCGCGCAGCCTGATTTACGCAGCCTGGCTTATGCAGCCTGACTCACGCAGCTTAGCTTATGCAGCCTGACTTAGGCAGCCTAGCTTACGCAGCCTGACTTGCGCAGCCTACCTTCCGCAGCCTGACTGAACGCCGCTTGACATTGTCAGCTTGACATTCTCAGCTTGACATGCTCAGCTTATGGCCATAGCTTACGCCGCCTGACTTGCGCTTAGCTTACGCAGCCTTAGCTTACGTAGCCTTAGCTTACGCAGCCTAGCTTACGCAGCCTAGCTTAGCTTACGCAGCCCGACTTAAGCAGCCTAGCTTACGCAGCCTGACTCGCGCAGCCTAGCCTGACTGAAGCACTCGGCTTACGCAGCCCGACTCACGCAGCCTAGCTTACGCGGCCTGACTGAAGCAGCCTAGCTTGCGCAGCCGGACTAGCTTACGCTGCCGGACTTACACAGCCTAGCTTACGCAGCCTAGCGTGCGTCTGGCGCGCGGTTCCGGGATGAACCCTCCGCAGGGATCGTGCGTGTCGGAGCGCACGTGGCCGACGAACCCTCTGCGCGGATCGTGCGGGTTGGAGCGGTCTCGCTGTAGCGCCGTGCGAATTCTTAACGTCGCCGACGAACCCTCTGCGGGGATCGTGCGGGTCGGAACGCTCTCGCTGTGGCGCCGTTCGAATTTTCAACTTCGCCGACGAACCCTCTGCGGGGACTGTGCGTGTCGGAGCGCTCTCGCTGTGGCACCGTGCGAGTTCATAACGTTCTCTCGCTGTGGCGCCGTGCGAATTTGCAACGTGGCCGACGAACCCTCTGCGGGGATCGTGCGTGTCGGATTTCTCTCACCGTGGCGCCGTGCAAATTTGAAAGCTCGCCGATGAACCCTCTGCGGAGATCCGCGTGGTCGACGACGAAAAACTGAGACACGGGCTCGAATGCTTGCCTCGTCGTGGCTTGCGCCTCGTGGCTTGCGCCTCGTGGCTTGCGCCTCGTGGCTTGCGCACTGTCTCTTTAAGCCAGCGGCCTTGGGCTTGAAACCCCCAGGTCCGGCCGATCTTCGTAGCAACTTGCACAGGACAACTTGCGCCAAACACAGCGGGCTGCAACTTTTCAGCACGAAAGTAGTACGCAAAGTCCACTCTCGTATCCGGTGCTAACTTTTCAGCGCGAAAGTAGTACGCGAAGTCCACTCTCGTATCCGGTGCTAACTTTTCAGCACGAAAGTAGTACGCGAAGTCCACTCTCGTATCCGGTGCTAACTTGTCAGCACGGAAGTAGTACGCGAAGTCCACTCTCGTATCCGGTGCTAACTTGTCAGCACGAAAGTAGCGCGCGGGGTGCACCCCCGTATCCGGTGCTAACTTTTCAGCACAAAAGTAGTACGCGAAGTCCGCTCGCGTATCCGGCGCTACCTTTTCAGTACGAAAGTAGTACGCGAAGTCCACTCTCGTATCCGCCGCTAACTTTTCAGCACGGAAGTAGTACGCGAAGTCCACTCTCGTATGCGGTGCTAGCTTTTCAGTACGAAAGTAGTACGCGAAGTCCACTCTCGTATCCGGTGCTAACTTTTCAGCACGGAAGTAGTACCCGAAGTCCATTAATTCTCGTATCCGGTGCTAACTTTTCAGCACGAAAGTAGTACGCGAAGTCCACTTTCGTATCCGGTGCTAACTTTTCAGAACGAAAGTAGTATGCGAAGTCCACTCTCGTATCCGGTGCTAACTTTTCAGCACGAAAGTAGTACGCGAAGTCCACTTTCGTATCCGGTGCTAACTTTTCAGCACGAAAGTAGTACGCGAAGTCCACTCTCGTATCCGGTGCTAGCTTTTCAGTACGAAAGTAGTACGCGAAGTCCACTCTCGTATCCGGTGCTAACTTTTCAGCACGGAAGTAGTACGCGAAGTCCACTCTCGTGTCCGGTGCTAACTTTTCAGCACGAAAGTAGTACGCGAAGTCCACTCTCGTATCCGGTGCTAACTTTTCAGCACGAAAGTAGTATGCGAAGTCCACTCTCGTATCCAGTGCTAACTTTTCAGCTCGAAAGTAGTACGCGAAGTCCACTCTCGTATCCGGTGCTGAAGTCCACTTTCGTATCCAGTGCTAACTTCTCAGCACGAAAGTAGTACGCGAAGTCCACTCTCGTATCCGGTGCTGATTTTTCAGCATGAAAGTAGTACGCGAAGTCCACTCTCGTATCCGGTGCTAACTTGTCAGCACGAAAGTAGTCTGCGAAGTCCACTCTCGTATCCGGTGCTAACTTGTCAGCACGAAAGTAGTACGCAAAGTCCACTCTCGTATCCGGTGCTAACTTTTCAGCACGAAAGTAGTACGCGAAGTCCGCTCTCGTATCCGGTGCTAACTTGTCAGCACGAAAGTAGTACGCGAAGTCCACTCTCGTATCCGGTGCTAACTTTTCAGCACGAAAGTAGTACGCGAAGTCCACTCACTGTTCAGCACGAAAGTAGTTTGCAAAGTCCACTCTCGTATCCGGTGCTAACTTTTCAGCACAAAAGTAGTACGCGAAGTCCACTCTCGTATCCGGTGCTAACTTTTCAGCACGAAAGTAGTACGCGAAGTCCACTCTCGTATCCGGTGCTAACTTTTCAGCACGAAAGTAGTACGCGAAGTCCACTCTCGTATCTGGTGCTAACTTTTCAGTACGAAAGTAGTACGCGAAGTCCACTTTCGCAGCTGGGGCTCGAACATCGCAGTTTTTAAGCACGAAAGTAGTTCGCGAAGTCCAGTTTCGCAGCTGGGGCTCGAAAATCCGCATTTTGTTCAGTACGAAAGTAGTCCACTTTCGCAGCCGGGGCTCGAAAATCACATCTTTTAAGTACGAAAGTAGTACGCGAAATCAACTTTTGCAGCTGGGGCGAAGTCTACTTTCGCAGCTTTTGCAAAAACTCAGTCGCTTGCTGACTGACACTTTGCGCAACATGTTTTGCAGTGCCTTTCTCATACTCGCTTTCGGGTTTTTTCTCCTTTCACCTTGTCAGAAAGGTGAAGCCTGAAGCCACACATCCGCACAGGTCAGCGAGGCGCTGGCCAGCGACGACCAGTGCCAGGGGGACTCCTGCGGTCTCAACGCCCTGCAGCTCCGGGGCACCAAGGAGGAGGATCCGCCGCGTTTGTTGGCTGAGGGTACGGGACAAGTCCATGTGAGAAAAGGATACCGACATTTGTGGTGCAAACTTGGCTCTTTTGCTTTGAGCCCTTCGGCGCCAGCAACGTGCGCATTGGTGAACAAAGATCTTTGAAACTTGAAGCACCCGTCCGGTGTTTGTGAGTTGTTCAGTCAAGGGTGAGCAGGAAAGGCCTCGGAACAACAGCGAGGCTTAGTGTCCATTGCCGCTTTCTTGGGCTTTGTTCTCGTTTCACGACACGAGGACAAACGCGTCATGGACTTGTATCAGCCTCTTCCCTGCCGAAGTTTTCTCCGCTGTAATCTCGGCTAGGGCTGAAAGGTAGCCGAGTCTTCAGCCTCCGACACCATGGGCTGCGGTGCCTCCTTTGGGGCCAAGCCTCTGGTGGTGCTCGACCCAGGAACCTTCCACACCTCCTTCCGGAAGCAGGGCGTCAAAGCGGGCGCCTGGCTCTCGGACACGGTGTACCTGTACGTCCTCGAGTCGGGGAACCTGGGGACCTACGACTTCCCGACGCACCAGGACTCCAAGTTGGCCACCACGGGTGGTGAGGTGGTGTGCGGGAGTCCCGACTGCTCCGTCTATGCGGTGGGCGCCAAGAACGAGGTGCAGATCTTCAAGGTCTCCGACCACTCCTTGGTGAAGAGTTTCAGCGCGCCCGTGGACTGCATCGCGTCCATGGCCTTCAGCCCCGACGCCAAATTCCTGGCGGTGGAGTCCGGGAAGCTGAAGGGGCTGTGCGTGCTCTTCACCGCGGAGGGGCAGGAGCTGGACAAGTTGCAGGGCCAAGATGGCACCCCCATGACCCCGGTCTTCTACAACAACGACACGCTGTTGCTCATGAATAAGAATGCGGTATGCGTGTACAGCTTGAAGAACAAGGCGCAGGTGGAGCGCTGGCCCCTTCCCGAGGACGAGATCGAGGTCACCGCGGTGTGTATGGCGGGCCGAAAGATCTTCGT